TGTGATAAAATAAGATGGTTGTAATCGAAAAGGGAACAAAAACGAAGATAATAAGATTTGAAAAGTGATTTTGTAAAGCTTCTACTTTCTGAGCTCAATACACTGGTTTTTGATGAAAGCGAGTAGTCGGTAGACGACGAAAATTGAGCCCTAGTCCTCCAAAGAATCCAGAGAACGCTGAATATGAAAAAGAGCAAATGAACAAACTGCTGGATTGAAGGTTGCAACTTTTAAGATCCATCGATCACCTTATGAGGCCAACCAAGACCAGTTGTCGACACCATTGCAAGTAGAACCGCCAAGACGAGTCCTCTCAAAAGCCACATTGTTGATATCACCTATAGAAATTTAGAGGTTGAACGTTTGGGATAATTCTAGCTATCAAATGGCAATTTCGACGAAAGCATTTATACATGGTGGAATTTAAGAACTCAGGGAAATATTGAAAAAAGTGTAACTCTACTGTAATCTCTACAGTAAGTACTATGGTGCTTGAATCGCGCAGCTTCATGCTACTATTGCATTGTTCTAAAACTCCGAGTCTAAATATGAAAACCAGCAAACGGAAATGTTAAAAATGAGACATTTTCTTTCAAAAAAAAAGATCAGTGATATTTCAAATTACGATTGCATTTGTTTGGAACCTAGCTCTTTTGGTAGCAGGTTCGTTAAGTTCGTATGGTGAGGGCCGAGGAAACGTAGACGTTCATTGGCTGTGTGGTAAGGGTGAATAGCGAATAGCGAAGTAGCATACATTAGCCTTCTTTTATACGGAAGCAACAGAATGAAGAATGTGAGCCCAATGTGCATTTGCATATTTTGCGCCAATTAAGCGCATTAGCGCATTCAACACACATCTAAACTAATTCTCAATTCATGTAAGGCCAGATAATGTAAGTAGACAAATGGATGACAGCGTGATAACAGATTATCAAAACATCGAGCGGAATCATTAAAATATCGCCAAGGTACAATCATCTTAAGCCTATGAAGAATCACTAATATAGCTTACGTACTGGAACTGCTCTTTTGTAAAATTCCCAACAGAAAGCAAAGATAATACTCCCATAAAGTTATTCAGAGGCGTTTGAAACGAAGCGATAAGGAAAGTGGAGTGATCGAATGAGATAAAGATGTTGCAGAACATAGATGAAAACAAGAAAAATCAATGCAGTAATAATAAAATTGAAATAAAACGAGAAGAGGCTTAGTGAGTTCCGCAATAAGCTAAGAGCATGGTTGGACCAAGTTTCCAAAAACGATATATCTCTTAAAAATTCCTTCGTAAACGTCTTTGATACGATATCTCCATTAATTGTTCCGTCCTCGACGTATTGTATGTGCCCTTTGATCTTAATCATTTGCGTATTTCGTAGGCAGATTACCTTGCAACTCATGAAGATGTCGGATGCGTTGAAGTGAAAGCGTAGTTTGCGTACCCTTTCGTTGTGCATTGTGCTGCTTAGTACTATTCTAAGCAGGCAATATTTGCCAGAGCAGTTCCATATTTGCTCTGCATATGAATGTGATTTCGGCTCCGGTTATACAGCTATAGCATCCCTCTGCGTCACTGGCGGTAGTCCAAAGTGGTTTGTTCTGATGCTATTTTTAGGTTTTCAGCAACAACATAAAGTTGCAAAGCTAAGCCAAATCCAGATTTTGCATGTAGTGTGCCCTGTTTTTGAAAAGATTGCAAGGTTTTTTGATATTTGAGGGAGGATTGAACTCCACATTAGTCTTTCCATGTTGCCAGAACTGCACACACAAGTGGCTCTTTTGAGGGAGACTGAGCAGGAGCAGCTTTTGTTGAGGAAACGCAATTGGACTTTTTTGCTTTTCGGTATGATGCGCAGTGAAGTTGTCCAGCTCCACGAGGTTTAACTGTCATTTGTGGACAGGTTGAATAATTGATACTTTTTCATTTCGTTCCATAAAGGTGGATGAAAATTGGTAACTGTAAAACTGTGACGCTTAAGAGACTGAACTTCAAGTTCTACATCTGATGATCTTCCTGAGCGAAATAGTAATGTGGTAGAAGACATACCATTACTTTGCTTCAAATTTATCTCAGCGCTCACTGTCGTTTCCCAACTGGGACGCTTGAACACTTTATAAATAGTGGAGCTTGCTGGTCTTGCGCCCACTCGATAAAACAAGCTGCTTGGTTGGTACATGAAACATCTGTCACAAGAGATGCATCCCAGCTCGCGGCGCAGAAGGTGTATCCAGGACTTCGTTTTGCTAGATCAGAAGGCTCTGATAGCTTGGCAGTGAGTGAGGTATTTTCACATGCGTTCTCACTGCAGCTCCCTGGTAGGTAGCATCGATGAACGGATTCAAGTTGATGATCTCTGGTATAAAACTGAATGTCTCCTTAACATTTGAGATCGATGCCGTTGACTTTGATGGATACGAGTCTGATCAGCTTGTTGTGATGATCCTTAAGAAGAAGACGTGATTCATGTTGCAGTGGCTGAAGAGTAACTACAGTGGCTTCGTTTAAAGTACATGTTTCCTTTTCTCCATCGTCGTCGTTCGTTATCCAGGCTTTTTAGACTCGGCTATATCGGAGCGAATAGTTATCGTATTCGTAATCTTTGAGTTCACTTACTCCCCCCCCCCCCCCACTCCACCCTCTCCCCTCCATCCCCCACCCTCGTGCCAAATCACAGATGCGTATCGAAGTTTGCAAAAAAAAAGCGAAATTGATAAGGGCGATTAGGCAGTATCTAAAAGTTAGTATTTTAGTCATGGTGAGCATGCTCATTTACATTCGAGGTCCCCCAAAAACGATAGAATCCATAGAGGTAGTCGATGTTTTAGTACTTTTTTTGTGGAGAACGTGCTCACTTATTCCCTATGCCAATTCCCAGGCATGTATCTCGAAGTTTTCAAAGCAAGGTCGGTCCGGATTGGTTCAAAAATGGAATTTTTACTCGAAATACGTATAGACTGACAGACACACAGGCAAACAGCTCAACTTTATAAAACACTTATTACAACGGCAATGCCTTTCATGTGTTTCAATGATTTCTGCAAACTCCTGAATGGAGAGCTCAACGCCATAAATAAGAACGCAGATGAACACTCTAGCTATTGGAGTCTTTGTCCCCGTCAAAAGCGGGCGACTTGCATCGCGAAGCGGTTGCGACGTGGCGTTCGAGCGATCTTCCAGCAGTAAAATCGCTTGCCCGCGCTCGCTTGCGCACGCCTCTCTTCGCTTGCTGACCAGTTGATTTGTGTGTGGGACTACCCTTCACTCGCTGATTAACATGTGAACGGTTATATTAGGTTGGTACAAATCAAAACATTAAAGATTGATTGATGCTCATGGTGTGTCAAGGCTTGTTTTTCTTTAGAATGACGCTTTCGGGATAAATCATTCCAGTTTTTTTTGCCCTATATATAGAGATAATTCTCACCATTCTTGTCAGCCATTTGAAGCCAGTGCGGATATTTGTAGATGCGTAATCTAACCTAAAAAATGTTAGCTAGTCTGCGAAGGCCCTCGGTCCTAAAAGGCAGACGACTAATTCACATTATATTTTCTCTTCAACATACATCACGCATACCATTCGAAAGCACCTTTTATCCCCGTTGAATGTAACGAAAACAGACTTTTAGCCTTATCGGTTGATTTTTTACAGTGCGTTTACGTTCTTAGTTTGCGCAAACATTCCGTCCTAAACATATTAATTGTAAGGGGCAGATTTTCTCTTTACCGCACACTGTTCATATTTTCCAAAATTATTCGGATACAAGGCGAAAGTGACATAAGCATGCAGAGTCTATCCCTCTATCAAAGATCACCTTCACAAAAGTCCCAATGTAGGAAAAACTCAGTAAGTGCATATCACGAACTGTCGGATTTTTTAGAGCGCATCTTGACCCTAGTTTCGCCATTCGTTTAATGGGACAAGCAGTTTTTGGCCTAGCGTAACCCATAACAAAAGATGGACTAAGTATTAGGTTGGTGCAAATCTTCCATAACTTTTCTATTTTTAAATGTGCTTCTCATTTTTTGCATGGTATAGTAACTGATATAGGCTACAAGAATGCCCAAACCGCTTGATTTTCATTGAGGTACTAGGGGAAATCTGGGCTGTTTCCAAAAACTGTTGAAAGCGAGGTTTCACTGTTTTTAAAACAAAAATAACCCGTGCTTAAGCTGAATTAAAACACTTCAAGGAAGAATTGTAAGCAGCATATTGCTAGAGACTGACTCAACAATTGCATTACAAGAAAATTGGAGATTGAAGACAAATTGAGATTTGACACTCTCAGAAGTGAACAAGTCGAATGCATAAATTTGGAGGGAAATTCTTCAATAATCAGGCAGCAAAACCTCAAAATTTGCCGAAACTTTGCACAGCGAAGTAGTCGATATGCTGAACACAAAAATATTCGTTTCTGCTAAAATTAAAAATACTTATAAATGACTAAAGTGGCCCGATGCGAGATGGTCTCATTTTTGCAATCAGCATGTCGAATAACTACCTTAGTCCAAGTTTTAGCAAAGTCTGAAGCAATCCGAAATATTGCCCCTTTCAATGTAAAGCTACCGTAGCCCTTACAGGCGATGGCGAAAATCAACAAAAATGACTGCACTGTAGTCTACATCACAGTACTGTAATACCAAAGAATGAACGCGTCATGTACAGACAAGAGTTTTGTAAAAAAAAAACTTTGCTTACTTATGTGTCACCCTGATGTGATTGTGAGAAGCTGTTTTGGAATAAATTATCCGAAGAAGCATGTGAAGCATGGCCATACATAGGCAATCGCCAACAAATCGTACTTGGGAATTGTGGCTCCCAAACGAGAGCGACCAGCACCAAGCTTAATCATTCCTTGAGCTTTCCAAATCTCCCCTAACCATCATCATACTTTCCATTCTCCCTATCTAAAATATTTGGGGAGAGAATTTGCGCTTTTTCGAAACAGAGGGTGCGAAAAGAACAAACTTTCCGAATGACCCAGTGAAAGACCACATTCTTTATTTACAACAATTCAAAATAAAGCAGATAAGCAATACATATTATCAACAAATGGCCAGCCACGTTAGTTGCAGCCTGTGTGAGATTGTCCGAGATGATTTCTACAGTTTGGAATAAGGTCTGCTTTGTGGTAATCTGAAGATTATGCGTAGATCAGAAACAAAGAAAGCCATAATTGACCGCATACATGGAAAATGCTCGCAGCAACGGGTTGTCCAAGTTCTTTGCCTAGAACTGAGTTTGAAACCATGCACTTCATATCGGTGCATCCAGCCATGAGGTCAGGACCTAAAGATCCATCAATCAATAAATCGATTGCAAGAAAATTGCAACATCGAATCGGCCCATACCTTGGCCAGTGAAAATTTGATTTTGACCTATAAGCACCGGATTATTTGTCCGATACACCAAAACCACGTACTGAGAACGATCTAAAGCAGAAAAATCGTTGCCACAATTAATCGATAGATCAATTCTTTGCTTACATGAGTCTTGTTTAATAACAGAAGTGCTATTATCGACATAAGATGCTCGTCCGCTCAAACCTTGAAGCGTGTCGGGTACTGGTAAGCGATTATACCCAACAGATTTTAGGTTATAAACAAAAAACATTGCAAGTGGTTTTGAAGAAGGTTCTAAATCAATATAATTTATTTTTCAAGCTTGGGTTAGGTGGATAAAAGTTACCTATGACTGTCATTACGTGCAAGAAACCGTCTTGAAGTGGTGGCGACATAAATTCCACGTTCTGCACCATAGCTGTAGTGTAGTGCGGATAAGTCAGTAAGACCATCTGTAAACTTGGACGCGTTTGTATGGCTGAAGGTGAGACTCGTCCGCTGCTGATTACTCACGTACCTCATCTCCAGTATGCACGACCGGAAAGGCGGTGTTCGCGTCAAGTGGACGCATTTCAATCTGATAAAAAAAGTACAAAAATAAACATATAAATCAACAAATAAATTTATAGAGTTTTATTTTAGTTCTGATCTCTTACCGAATTTAACATTGCCAGCGGTGGTTGAGGAAATATGCTTGGAGTGAGTAAGTATTCAGCAAACCCTAAAAAGTGTGATCACAAAAAACTCGTAGGAAGAAATCGATAATTGATTCTTGATATACGCAGCGACTTTACAATACCGTAAACTTACAGTCCCCAATGCTCATTGATGCTGTTTCGCAGCAAAGATAAATAGGAAGTTCCGGAAGTACAAAACGGTCCGTATCATTACCTCTCCTAAAAAAACAATGTGAGTTTGGGGAATTTCCGCAAAAATTTTCGTTCAAAAACCTGCAAGTGAAACCACTTGGGCATTGCGACCTTCTTCTTGGATCACATCTATCGTGATCGAATGACAACGAATTCTGCGGGCACTGTGGCACCGCATTCGTGTAGTACGCTGAAAATAGAGGACTGACAGTGGAATTCACAACAATTTTTTTGGAGAGGGTTAATTTTCTTATGGATAAGATAGGGTCAGGTTAGCCTAATTTTTAGAGAACTAGTCTGAGTTTCTGGATAAATTTTATTTGAAGACAAAAACAAGTCACGTGCAAAATTTTACACTTTGATTTCAGGACTTTGTACTGCTTTCGAAGGTCTCGCCCCTGAGCTAGTGTTCCCCCCCCCCCCCCGCTCCCTCCCCTTTGGTTCGCTACAGAATTGAAAACATTTTAATTTTTCTTTCGCTGCACCACTTTTTTCACGAGTGGATTGACTTGCTCCAATACGATCGAAATTGTGAACTGATTCATCCCTGCGCAAAAAAATGTTTCCATATTCATCAAATGCTGGAACTTTAAAAACGCAGGCAAAATTTCAAGATTTTCCTAGTAAAAACGACTTCACGATTTGAGAGAGCAAGAAAAATTCAAAGGTCATCTAGTTTCTGTCTTTCTGTACACCACCACTTGTTTTCATTTTGTTTTCATACCTTCAGGACAAAGATAATAACCCAATAATAAATTTGGATTCCATCACGAATTTGTATGTCAACTCCTTGCGCATCAACCTCACTCACATGTCGAAAGAGACTCTATCTCTTGAGAAATTGCTAATCGGGGCTGAGCAAAGGAGTGAGGGGTGGCAGAGGGAAATGGTAAACTCTACTCTTCGAGAAAAGAGCGACATGGGGGGCTGCTAACAAGATTCCACTTTTGCCTTTGTTTTTATTGCTCCCCTCAATTCGTCCTAAGATCCTGTTTGCTCTTCTTCATCACAATAAATAAATGTTTCCAATATTCTTACGACAACTCTCGAAAGCCAGTTACTTTCTATTGAATTACGGAGAAACGTGTTCCACTTGATTTCGTGAGTCACATTCTGGTATTAGATTCAACGAGAGGTGGTAAATACTTTGATAGAAATCAGGTGGAGAAACTCTTGAAGGACATATGGCGTCTTAAGAAACCGATAGGAAATACTTACGTGGAAAGTGTTACTTTTCGACAAGTATTAGGTCCTCCTACAAATTTTTTACTATCATGTCAAAATTGATATTTCTTGGTGATCAATCACAAAAAAGTGCTGAAAAGCATTCCGCATAGCCATAACTGCTAGGAACTCAAGATTGCTAGAGAATACTAATCCCCGAAAAAAAGGGGGGGGATGGAATTGTCACTTTTTGCCTACCTTATTTACTTTCATTTGCGATTACGAGGAGCAAATGCACCCAGTGCTTATATGATGATGGAATGAGAGATTTCGGAGTGGGTATATAAGCGTTTGACAGAATTTCCTCTGGTGCATATCTACTTTTTATCAAAAAGTAATTTTTAAATTTTAAATCTTCATCAAAGGCCTAAAACTCTATTTCATTTAGAGTTATACGACATAGTGGTCATCTTGCATTGGCTTCGCTCCATCGACTAAGCCAGGTAAACCGAAAAAATTGATAGGGTAATGTCAAGAAGATTTGGATTTAGAGATTTTAAGGAACCAAAATCTGCACAAACAGAATAATGCAAAACTTGATGGTTCGGGAAAATCGCGGTTTACCTGAGCCAATAACTATGAGAGAGTGGAGCAACATCGTAGTTGTGAATTGATGCGACGAGTGGAGCTCATCGGTTGCTCAGCCCAAGCAAATGAGCGTCGTTTACGGTATTTGCGCACCTGCCGAGGCTCAGCAATTGTGCACGAAAATAGCAGGGGATTAAACATTTTTTGCTCAAAATATTAGGCATTTTCAATTCTACCAAAGTATGAGCTCCTATGCACAGATCTCAACATCCTGTATCAATGCGCAATTTAATTAGAGTAGATTATGATTCTACGCCCTACAACCATATGGCGATCCCAAACATTTTTTCAGAAAAATAAGGAGACATGACATATCCCTTGATAAAATTATATGCCTTGACCCGTTCTCAAAATTTTGGGACACTTTCCATGCCTTGCGCGATCAGTTCCGAAGTTTCATTGAAAGTGTCGTCGAGTCATCTGTAACTCAAAATATGTATTGCACCGTGCACGATACTTGACGGACTTCAAGATTAGAACCTGCTCATTCTCCTTATCTGCTTTAATTTGGCTGAATATTTACCAGTTGGTACACATATTTTTTTAAATGGTCAAAAAACATATTGAGAAGCTACTAGTACTTTAGACGTCGATTATCGCGCATAGTCTGCAGGCTCATACACTAAGTTGTACATGATTCGAGCATGGGCGTGGCGGAGTTGCGTCGTCGATAAATAAACCCAAAAGTGGTTTCTTTGAATCTATAGAATTTGCATTTTTTTACAAACAATACAGTTACTTTCAACTTATGTGACCCATATCAAATTTTTACGATGATTCTCGCAACAAAACTGAAGAATACTTGAACATGCCATATATTAGATTGTTGCAAAAATAATGTCCGTTCTTCTAAGCGTATATTCCAAACAACTTTTTTCCATCAAACTTTCTTTTTCGATATAGAATCTGCATATCATTGGAAAGCTCTCTTCATGTACTTTCTAACGGTGGTGGAATCTGCTATCCTCATCTGTGAAAATTTCACCAGCATTTTGCGCATCCGCACTCAAAATTGGAATCTCATGGCTTTCATTTTCTTGACCTCAATTCAAAGCTAAATAAACGAATTCCTCTAAAAACAAAGCAATTATATGGAAGATTGTTTACCTACTGCATGCTTATGTAGGTTTTTGGAGATATCTGGACTGAGAAACTGACACCTCGAAATAGATACTTCCTGCTGCCATTCTTGGGTCAGAAATTTCTCACAATCAAGGCAATCGCTAAAGCTTCGCCCGTCTCTGTAAGCTTGAGATTAGCACATCTTAACTACAATATATATAAGAAACCTAGCTATTCAGTGCGCGAACAATTCCAAGTTTTCATAATCTGGCACTTATAGGTCTACAACAAGTAGGCTCAAAAAAGTGAGCATTTTCGAATTTTTATCTTTCTTTTCGTAGAATTCCTTCGTTGGAGTTTTTTCTATACACACGTAAACTCATGGCCTACGGCTGCAAAATAAGCTGATGGCCAGCCATACGAACAAAATTTGAAGGGAGTTGTAAGCTCTTAAACACGAGGTTTTCAAAAGAAGTTTTAGTTTTTTTGACGCATGGTTTTCTTCCCGTTTGCGATACCAGGATATGCAGGTGCGCTTTAGATTGCGAAAGGTTTACCGGTGATGGTACTGCATTCAAAAATATGAAGACTGGACGAAGTTATAGCCTTCCAAAATGAAAATTTGCAAAACGGACATTATTTTTGCAACAACCTAATACCATTTTGTATATTTTTTTCACAATCAAGTACATGTTTTGTTGTCAAGTTGGAAATTTTATTGCAGAGGATCAAAAAATTGCTGATCGCAGAGACATCTGATAAGCACAATTTTTTCAGACAGAGCAGGTTCGATGGGACCAAACTCGACAGTTCAGCAGTTTTGGCAACTAAATCTGAAGAAATGCAACTGAACGTATTTCTTTAACAGCTATTTAGTTTGAACGCTATCTTATTACAGTTGGGAATCTAAATATGTTTCATCCTAAAGATTGAATGATTTTTCTTGATTGAGTAGTGAGCTGTGATGTTCTGTGATCCAAATTCTTTTCTTGAAGAGCTAGGAATCTGATTTCCACAAATTCAAAACTCAAAACTGCCTCTTAATCTCAACACAAATCCCTAATATCAGGCAAGACATATTCTCGGGAATGGCGGGGTCGCGTCCCCACCCACTATTACTTCATTAATCAAATTTTATTGTTAGACTTTCGCTGAGCCATTGTAGAATTGATTTGGCAAAATCATTGAATACTTTAAAAATTCAAAGTTCAAATTAACGCATTATCTTCAGGGCCATTAATGCGTACTTATTCTAAGCCTTATTTACTAGATTTCTAGTAGGCAGCGATAACGGAAATAGTACCAAGGCACTTTGAACATTTGGCGAATTGTATGTGTGTAGAAAGAACACCTAATGCAATAAACATTCAACTGCACGTAAGACGTAGAATCTTAATGTAAATTTTTATAAAGTGATTATTTTATACACAAAACAATTCTTTAGTGACGATGTAGGCAATCTCTTGTTTCTCCAGCGTATTTGCCAGCTAATTGGAATGTGCCAAAGTCGAAGATCTTCTTTGGTGTCTGAAATTGGAATGTGGTCACTCTGGACTTAGTTGATGTTCAAGTATTCTGTCAGAAGTTCGCAATATGATTAAGTCTCAAATAAAGAAAATCAACATTCAATCAGTGACGCAAATCAAATCCTTTGACGAAGAGTACTTTTGGATAGTAGAGCGACATAAACAAAAAGTTTTCTGGTAGTATCCCCGGAATTTTCGCAAATCCATGTCTCTGAAGTTTTAGGATAAGCGGCTGCTACGTTTCAAAACATTTTTTATATTTTAGCTTGATTTTTTGAATTGAGCGACCACTACCACAGCTTCTGTATTTGTCGAAAAACGCAGAAATAACAAAAAGATACAAAAAATTAGGGAACGAAAAAAATTCAAACAACGAGGAAACGGGAATAACATACAAGATCTCCTAGGAATGGTCTATTTATACGGAGATTGGGTGATAGATGTATTGTAGTATCCGAATTTTCAATGTATCTTACCTCGCCACTGCTGATGTACTGATCAGGAACGTGGATGGTGATCTTACGCTGGCAGGGCTAGAAATTCAATGGATATCACTTATATTACCAAACTATTGACCATCCATAGGGTCAGGGTGATGTAACCTACCATGATACCATCATCACAGTCATGATAGATGTTGAATTTAGGCTCGATTGAGGTGAATTCGTCAGCATGCCCTTGGATCATAAAATGACCTTGGGCGTCGGTCCTGCCGGAGGCCATTAACTCATCGGGGCTGACTGCAAAAAGTTTTTTCTACTCATACCTCAATTTCTAAATACTTGTGAAAATAGTAAATTCTCACGCTTGTCCTCATCGTACAGTTTTACTTCTACGTCAGCGGCTGGTTTATCGTTACAGATCAGTGTTCCTCGTACACCAACAGATTGTGTGCGACCGAGACCAGCAGCGAGAGGGACAAAGGACAACAGGAGCAGGACCAACATACTAAAAGTTGGTTTCATCCTTCGATTCATTTTTTTCAACAAAGTGAGGGTACGTGATGCGAGATAAGAAAAATTAGCAAGCAAATGGCGTTCCTGTTTGTGGGTATCTATTGAAAACTAGAACAATTTTCTTTTTTACTTGTTTTTATAGTGTGAATTCGTGCGCAAAACGCTTTTGAATCTGAAAGAGCAGTGCTTCTATTGAACGAATGAAAACTTCATCAAAAATCAACGTCTCTTCAGAGGGCCAAAGCCGTTATTACGTCAATTTTTTGAAAACTGAGTTTAAAGTGCAATGAATGCCCCTCAAACTAATCTAGTCTAGAGGGAAGGCAGAAAGTGCTTCAAAAAGTTTTAAAATTTTTCGATGTCATAAATTCTGTAAAATTAAGTCTCGAAAAGGTGCATGTGTATCACCGAATTGCCCAGAATTTATGACAAAACAAATTCAATAAAATGCGGAGCGAGAGTGCCTTGAAGAACATTGTACTAAAACCAGTTTTTGGTTACCTGCTGATAACGTCTTGCATATGCAACCTCGTAAAATGTAACCGCGAGCTCCGCTGAAGTTTATCAAGTCAGATTTCCATATTTCGGTTCAGATAGGGGAATGAACGCGAAGATTTAGGGATATACAAAGGTGTCCGTATGGGTACGGTAACTGTAGGTAGGTTGTCACTATTTAATAGCAATCAATATAAGCACGGTTAAAGTTAACATTTAGCAACCTAACGGCGAATTGCAAAAAAAATCCGTTAAACTGACAGAAAACTGGCTACTCATATACCGTGCCCAGATATACAGTCTATATATCAGAAGATGAAGCTGGGCTAAATAATACCCTTGGTACAGATTTCGTCGCTCTGCACCGAAATGAGTCAACTTCGGCAAAATTGACAGAATTCGCGATCTTTTCTCTGTAAACTCTAAGCACTATTGCATTTTTGTTTATTCTACATTTTATATAGACGATGAGTCAAGTAGAGATTGTAGAGGGTTCACGCATTATGCTCAGTGCATCGAGACATTATCTCGTTTCTTTTCAAATTTCGCATACATGAAGTGCTCCGAACTAAAACCAATTTTGAAAAAAATTTGGGAACCCTATGCTTCATTGCAAGACCGTGCTTTCTCGTTAAACACATTACAGCGCTTACTTGTTCACCTGGCGTTTAAAACCTGTCAAAGACGATTATGACCTCAAGTAAACATTACAGCACACTAATAAAGGTTTTATTTAACCCTAATACGAATTTGTCTGTCGGCAGCTAATCTTCAGTAGACTCAATAAGAATCTGCACTTTAACCTGTGCAAGAAGTAGCAAGGATAATAAACGCAAAAAGATGCCACCCATGCGTTAATGTCACTAGGCCTACCTACCTAAACCATTCTTCTTTCCTGCACCATTCTATCATCAAGCAAATGATTTTTGAAAAAATCCAGTTGGCCATCCGACTCTCATTGAATGCTCTTTCCAATGGTACCACATATTCAGACAAAAAATGAATTTTAACGTTACTCCAAACCACTAAAAAGATCGAACTTATTTTTTAGCTAACCTAATAAAATAGAGTTGCAGATCATGGTAATGCTGTACGGTTCCATGGATAAGATGACACATATGAAGATTCATTCAATAACACTGGTTCACCCTCTGATCATTACCAGCCGTCAGCGAATTCGAAGCAGGACCGTATGTAAGCTTTTGTGTAGGTGCATGTGAATTTAGCAAGACTCTTTGTGACTTTTATCCGAGCGCAAAATCAACGGAACTTTTGATATATGTCTTTTAAGATGAAGAAAATCCAAATCAGCCAGTATACATGGGTTACAGCTGGATTAATTAAATTTTAAGTCATTTAAAGTTCTTTTTATAAGAGAGGTCAGGATTTCTACATTGGCCAAAATCTCTAAAATTTAGAAAGATGAATTTTATATGACTCAAAAATCAAATTAATCAAAGCTGAAACATGCACTACTGTAATTCATGAATCAAAAAAAGGCGAAATTCTGTGGTATCAAAGTGTACCAAATGAAGGGACTATAGCTGAATGAAAGAGATGCAAATCGAATGACTCAAGGAGCTGATGGCACAACCTTATGAAAACTGCTTTAAAATTACTGTGGCAAATTCGACATAGACCAAAAGAGTAGTAATGACTCATAAAGTCTACCATCTCGTCGATAGAATAAACGTCTTATGTGATGTCAAGAGACGAAACTGGAACTGAATGCGCACACACTGTGATGAGACAACAGAACAGTGATGACAGTGTAAACTGCATCATTCAAGGGAACAAATCGCTGCATTGATGGCGAAAAACTCACAGGTGAACTTCCGGTTAGAGTTTTTATTCGTATAAGCAATAAGACTGTAGCGGTACATTTGATCTTGAGTCGAAGTCTTGTTTTTTGATTGGTCATAAGAGGTCAATTTGTACTGTTTGTGTTCGCTTTACCGTAAAGCCGATCTTGTATTAATTTTAAAAGATCTGCTAAAAACTTTCCATGAACGTAATCGCCTCCAAATAACGAAGAACGAAGATACGCAGTAAAATCAGAAATGAGTTTTTGATGAATGATCATTTCTAAGCTGAATATTGTGCAGTTGCACATATGTATCAGCAAGCAAACCTACACCCTGTACACATGGTATTAGGTTGGTACAAAAGTGGCAAGCGTTTACACAAGCCGATCTGAGTAAAACCTGTGAAAACTGTGCGCCAAAAGGATCAACGCAACTTTCGGTGCAACAAAGTGGGGTCTATAATTGGATTTGTTTGACAAGTAAATTCGCAAATCCTAGACCCCAGCTCTAAATGTGAGCAAAAATTTACTTTCACGCAAGATCGGCGCCAAAAAGGAACAACTGCGAAGATAATCGATTTGTAAAGTTTTAAGTAAGAATTTGAAAAAATATTTTGCTTAGGGATGTAACTCATGGATGTCATCATCCTTATGGCCACTATCAAGCCATTATAACTCCAGTAACTAATTCGAACTCGCATTTATTCTTCTGGAGAATTCTTTCCTCCCAAAGCCACCGATCTTACATGAAAAGGCTTTTGAAATGAGTAGTTGCTTACAATCCATTCTCTTAATTGGCATAGCGTGGTAAGTTTCAAAGCCATCATTCTGCGAGTATAAGGATGGCATGTGAAGAACCAGTGCGAGCCTCTGCGAAGCAGAGGTGACGCAGGGGTGCTTTATATTATAAATGACTATCAGGTATTCGGATGAGTCGTTGTCCGCAGGAAGATTGAAGCCAAAATCCAAGGACGCTGAGTGCCTCAAAAATGGAAAGTCTTTCTAAAAAGACTAAACCTAAAAATCCCTAGGTCAGCATATAATTTATACAACAAACATTTATTGACATACTCATGATGAGTCAAAAAAGTCACCGAATTATTGGATTTTAATTTCAATATTTTTCTTTTGCCGTACAGGTTGTTATCGGTGACAGTTTATTGCCTACGTTTCGGCACAACGCCGCCGTCGGAGGCTAAAAAGTATTCAGTCACATTGATTTACGATCTTGGTCGCCAAACATCTCCTCCCGCTCGAGCATTCGAATGGTCTTGAGTGGGCAGGGAGTCTGCGAGTAGAGGACGACTCACCAGAGTTGTCACCCGTTTGTAGCAGTATCAGTTGGTTCTGATGTGCTTCAACGAACTGCGATGTTGAGAGAATGCAGTCGTGATGTCAACTGACTGCTGTGTCGCGAATGAGCAGTCGTGATGTCAACGGACTGCTTAAATAGGGTAGACGATCTTATAGTTTGCAATATGTCAGATACGGCATCAGATCTCCAGTTATAGATAATTGTTCATTCTTGTTGTTGATCTGGGGGTCGCGGACAAGAATGTGGGATGCCTCAAGGGCCTTTCTCGCGATAATTTGATTTTCGTAGGCCAAGATTATGCACTTGATGTTGAAGTCATTACCGTTATGATCTACCTTTCTATGCTTTCCTAGCGGATTCATTACGCTTTGCCGCTTTTTACTAGCCAAATGCTCGTTTACGCGCACGCACAATGGTCTACCCGTCTCACCAATGTAGATGGCAGAGCATGCTAAACATTCTATTTGATACACGACGCCAGATTTCGAACAATCTCCATCTTTTCCGTAAGGGCATATCACGCAATTTCGTGTGATGCAAGCATTGTCATACATTCCATCACGGAATAGTTGTCTTTTGATGTTATCTCGGGGGATATTCACCAAGACAACTTCGTTATCCAACTGCGCTCGTATCAAACATTGTCTTATTGCAGCATTGACCCTTTCGGAAATGAAAGGGAGGCACAGAGGTATTTTGTTTACGTTCTGTCCAACTCGCCTTTGACACTTTCGTTGTACGTCTAGCTCGCATATTATAACCGTTTGCAATCATTATTCCAGTTGCCAACTTTAGTGATTCTTGTTTTTCTTTTTCGCCGCTGCAGATGCCTACTACCGTTCTGAACATATTTCGAATCATGGCGCGTTTCATGGCTGTAGGGTGTGCAGATTGTGCGTGCAGAAGAATATTCTTGTTGCTCTCTTTTCGGTACCACTTGTTACTACTACTCTACTTTCACACGCCAACAACTCACCTTCCTCAAACGATGCAGAGCGACCGCGACGCTTCCACGATTCATCACAAATAAGAAGTTAGGATCAACATGCGGCCTATCGGAAGATCATCCAAAAACAAGAGCGCTTTACATGAAAATTCTCAAGATGGTGATCAAAGAAAAGCAACGCATGTTCTATTCGAATCTGCTGAAATGCGAAGCTAAAGAAGATTCATGCAGACGTTACATGGATGTTGAAGAGTGGAGGAGGATCAAGAGTATGTCAAAGCGAATCTGCGATTCTTTGCGGTCTAACATTAAGTCCACACTCTGCAAAAAGTTCGAAGGACTCTTAGGTGGAGGTAAGGAGAGTTCTGTTAAGACTAGAGGAATTTCACCACTTCTTTACCGTTCCGATAGCGCAGATGATCAAGCTAGTGCAAATGAAAGAACGGCTAGGGTCACGGTGTTAGGTAATGCTCAAATCTCATCTAATGCCATTGATTTTCTGAGCTTAGGACCCTCATTTGCACCCACGCAAAATATTGATGCACGAACTTACCGTAACGTACTGGGATCACTGCAGCGATTGCGAGACCAGCTTTGGATCAAGTTAAAGCGCGACAACCAAGCTCAACCCTGCGATACTCTAAGTAGAAGGACTTTACCGATGATACCATTTCCATCTTCCTTCTATAAAAAACCTGAACCTTGTATTATTGCGGATACCAAGTTTCGAATACTCGCGCTTAGCATCTTGAATGTTCTGGATGATAACAGAGGTACCAAAAGATCTAACTTGACACAAGCGCAACAGCAGGGCTTCAGAGAGATAAGAGAACTGACTACCAACGGCACCATACGCCTCTCAGTCAGTGACAAAGGAGGGGAGTTTGTAGTTATGTCGCAGACCCTAGACCGAGAGATTACCGAACATCACTTGTCAGATAATACTGTCTATCAACCAGCGACTGAAAGAGAGTTTCTATCACAATGCAAGAGGTTGAATCATATCTGGACGACGGTAGGGAAAGAAGCTGGTCTTCCTGAAAAATTCCTTAGCAGGCTCAAGATTGAAACTCCAGCGTGCCCTGTATTTTATAGCCTAATCAAGACACACAAGCTCTCTACAGTTGACATTCAATCCGTCACCGCCGCTTCTTACCAGATACGACCCATCATTAGCTGCGTCAGTGGCCCAAACGACCGCATATCATGGTTCCTTAATAAAATCGTGAGCCAACTTCTAAACAAAGAACCTGCCCACTTAACCAACACCAATCATTTCCTTGAGCTTCTACGCCAGACAAATTTCAGTCAAAACTGCGCAGTGGAGTCGTTTGACGTAACTTCATTGTATACCAATGTATCCAATGAAGACGCATTGCAAGCGCTTTCTGAGATGCTGGAGATACATAGTAAAACTATGATAAGCTGGAGATACATAGTAAAACTATGATAACATACACTCTCAGTAAAGCACGCATCATAACACTCATCAAGGAATGCTTGCGTTGCAATATATTCAAGTGGTCAGGACAATACTATACACAAGTTAGAGGTTTGGCAATGGGTCATCAACGATTGGCACCCGTCCTAGCAATCTGCTTCATGAGCAGAATTGAACAGCCTGTGCTATCTAAAACCCCGCTTATGTTTATTGTTTATTGTTTATTGGATTACACTCTAGGTGTGCCAACATAATGTAGTCAAAAACAACGACACAGTAAATTCAAACAATAGTCAGCTAATCTCAACAGAGTCAGTGTCTTCTTCAGACCAAGAGCTGAATAAATCAGAAGTAGAAGACACCACATCACAGTCTGCTGGCATATCTTACTATCTTCCAGAATTGGATCCCACTTTTGAAGGCCAGCGAGCCTACGGGCGGAGGCTAGCTGACTATATCCCCACTAAAACGTGTGAAACTCTGGAAGGACAGCAAAACATACGCATGACTAAAACTGAAAGAACTGTCATCAATGCTTATATGTGAGAGCTGAAGAAATTTTAAATAAAAGAATGAAACACAAAACCACAAGAAATGAAACACTGTTGATGA